CTGAGCTATATCTGCAGCCCATTTTATTTTTTTAGTTTGAAACAGGGTTTCACTAAATTGCTGAGACTGGCTGGAACTTGGGATCCTCCTGTCCTAGCCGCCCCAATAGCTGAGATTACAGTGTGCACCACTGTGCCTGACTTGGATAATTATTTTTTAATAACGAAGATGTTTTGTGCTGGGATTGTGGCTCAGTGGTAGAGCGCTGGCCTAGCACGGGCAGGACCTGGGTTCAATCCTCAGCACCACATAAAAATAAAGGCATTGTGTTGTGTTCAGCTACACATAAAAAATAAATGTTTAAAAAAAAAAAAGATGTTTTGCCTAGAAATACAGATCAACTAAATTGAATTTTTTTTTTACTGCTTTACTCCTCAAAGGAAGGCCTGGGGCTGTAGCTCAATGGCAGAGCGCTTGCCTAGCATGTGTGAGGTACTGGCTTCAATCCTTAGCACTACATTAAAAAAATAAACAAAATGAAGGCATATTATGCATCTACAACTACAACTTTTTTTTAATTTTTAAGGAAAAGACATAGGAAAGATAAAACCTAGATTGCAATATTAGGAAGAGTAGAAAAGTATGAACATGAAGAACTCTTGAAAGTGAAGGCCAGCATATTTGGAAGTAGTGTATGAAAGAGGGTAGAGTCAAAAACCACAAAGGCGAGGCTGGGCACCTAGTTCAGCAGTAGAGTGCTTACTTGGCATCTATGAGGCCCAGAGTTTTATCCCCAGTATCATAAAAGAAAAAAAAAGAAAAAGAAAAACACCAGAGCCAGGCATGATGGCACATACCTGTAATCCCAGCAGCTCAGGAAGCTGAGGCAGGAGGATTGTGAGTTCAAAGCCGCCTCAGCAAAAGTGAGGTGCTAAGCAACTCAGTGAGACCCTGTCTCCAAATAAAATACAAAATAGGGCTGGGGATGTGGCTCAGTGGCTGAGTGCCCCTGAGTTCAATCCCTGATACAAAAAAAAAAAAAAAAATTTAAGTAAAATCAAGGAATTAGGAGCCAAGATTAGATTATTGAAGTAGTTAAAAAAGAGAAGAAAAGAATTTGATTTTTTAGATCTGATAATTAAGATCATGAGAAAATAATAAAAGACTTTATTCAAGTCCTCTTCTGGCTTTAGAAAATATCTTAAAGGAAATTTATTTGGTCTTACCCTGCATGTATCAAAGCTTCCATTTTCATCACCTGCACAAAATGAAGTGTTAGGAATTACTCCCCGATAACTCCACTCAGAATTACAAATTGTTCGAGAAATATAATGTACTTCTGCTTCCTGTAAAGTATTTGTACCATTACCTGTTAAAGAACAAAGAAATATTTTTTTTTGGTTCAGGCACTTTTATAATGATTTAAATGCTGCTGTTTAATAGCTCTTCTTTTCAAACCGACTTTTAAAAAAATATGTAAAATTTTATCTCTATCATATCATCACTGTCCATTTCCATAATCCTCCCCAGCTGCTGACAACTACAAATCTACTTTCTGTCTCTATTATTTTCACATTTGGGACACTTCATTATATGAACGGAATCATTGAATACATGACCTTTTATGTCTGGCTTATTTCACTTAGCATAATGTTATAGTATGTATTGGTATTTTATTCCTTCTTATGGTTTTATTTCATCATCTATTATCTAAATATACCTTATTTTGCTTATGCATTCATCATTTGATGTACCTTTAAAGTTTTTTCCCATGTTTAACTATTATGGATAATGCTGCTGTGAATATTTATGTACAGGATTTTGTATGGATATACATACTTATTGGATATTTATGTAAAAGCTGAATTACTTTTCTTTCTTTCTTTCTTTCTTTCTTGGAGGGGGAGCTTCCAAACAGTATTCCAAAGCAGCTGTATCATTTTGTATTCCAACCAGCAGTGTATGAGGGTTGCAGTTTCTTTGTGGTGCTTCTTATTTTCCAGGTTTTTTTTATTATTATTATAGTTATCCTTGTAGCTGTTACTTCTGTTGATTTCTAAAATTACATTGTCTAATTTTTGCTAATGTATAGAAATGAAATGGACTTTTGTGTATGAACCTGGCTACTTTATTACACTGTTAATTCCAATGGATTTTAGGTTCTGTTTTAGTATAATCATGTTGTCTGTGATTAGTGAATATTTTATTTCCTTTCTTAGTTATACGTCTTTTGTATCTTTATTGCAGTGCTACTGTACTTGTTAGGAATTCTCCTACAGTATTATATAAAATTGGTAATGGGTTGTAGCTCAGTGGCAGAGTGCTTGCCTAGAATGTGTGAGTTACTGGGTTTGATCCTCAGCACCACATATAAATAAATAAAATAGGGCTGGGGTTGTGGCTCAGCGGTAGAGCGCTCACCTAGCATGTGCAAGACCCTAGGTTTGATCCTCAGCACCACATAAAAATAAGTAAACAAAGTAAAGGTATTGTGTACAACTAATAATAATAATAATAATAAATATAAATAAACAAAGAAACAAATAAGTAAAATAGAGGTTGAAAAATATGGTAGGCCTCATGTTTTGAGTTCTAGTGTTTTATTTTATAAAAAGAAATTTAATTACTGATTCTATTCCTTTACTCTTATGGAACTATAGAGGATATCCCTTTCTTACTTAGTCAGTTTTGCTAATTATAGTTTTGGTTATTACAAAAGAATTTGTCCATTATATTTAAATGTAATTCATGTGCCCCACAACATCACTTTGGTCATCTATGGACTACATGATGGTGGTCCAATCAGCTTATATTATCTATTATGGTTTTAGCCATCTTTGTGTAAGTATACTCTGTGATATTTGTATAGTGTAGAAATTGCCTAATAAAGCATTTCTCAGAACATATCCCTGTCATCAAGTGATGCATAACTGCATTAAAATTTAGAGCATAATACTGTGAAAAGTTTTGTGGACTGGAGATATAATTCAGTGATAGAACACTTGTCTCGTATACACTGAGTTTGATCCCCATTGCCATAAAAAAAATTAAACACCATTATGTTGGGCTGGGGATATGGCTCAAGCGGTAGTGCGCTCCCCTGGAATGCGTGCGGCCCGGGTTCAATCCTCAGCACCACATACCAACAAAGATGTTGTGTCCACCGAAAACTAAAAAATAAATATTAAAAAAATTATCTCTCTCTTTAAAAAAAAAACCATTATGTCATCTTTTAATTCATAATTTTATTTATATTTGCGACTTTTCTCCATATTTTCCTCAGTCTTACCAGTGACTTCTTATTTCAGAGAAGTAGAATTTGGATTGGGAATGTGGCTTAGAAGTAGAATGGTTACCTAGCATGCATAAAGCACTGGGTTCAATCCCCAGCACAACAACATATCACCATCAAAGAACTAGAATTTGGCCTTGTTCAATCTCTCTTTTCTGTCTTTATTTTCTGTTTGTTAGTTGCTATGTTTATTTCTTCTGTGGGATTATTATAATATTTTTAAAACTGCTTTAAAATTAGGTATTTAATTAATAAATTTTTTCAGACAATTCTTTCCTGTTAGGTCAAATATTTGCTTTTTCATATATTTCAACCTACATATTACCTTGGTTGCAGTCCCCAAATTGTGCTCTGCAGTATATACATATCTGTTCCAGTATATATCTAACTGTTCTGTTTTAAATATTTAAAGTGATTTTCTTTTTGACATATGAGTTTGGTAGTGTTTTAAATTCTCCAAATGTATGGCTTTTTAAAACTTACATTTTGTCATTTTCTACAAATTTGTGCTTAATTTATTTAACACAAAAACCACACACTGTAAGCTTGCCATTCAGAGATTTCTGGTAATTCATTATGAGCACTAAAACCTAGTTTTAAACTATTTCATTCTCAAAGAGACTTCCTGTGCCCACTTCCAGTCATTTCTCAGCTCCATCCCTACACTTAATTTTTTTGGTTTTGTTTCATTTTGTTTTTGCAGTGCTGTGACTCAAACTCAACACCTCACACATGGTAGGCAAATGCTCTGCTACTGAACTACATCCCCAACCCCAACTCCACTCTTCGGAAATAGCTGATTTCTGTCTCTGTTGGTTTGCATTTTCAAGAAATTTTGTACAAATGAAATAACATAATTTGTAATCTTTTATATATGGCCTCCTTCATATGTTTTAAGTTCACCTGCATTGTAGTATGTATCCATAAAAAGTTTTTTCCTTTTTATTGTTGAATAGTGTTTTGTTGAATGGATATATCATATTTTATATATCTGTTTATCTATTTGATGGATATTGGATTGTTTCCAGTGTTTGGTGTTAAGGATCATACTGCTGTGAGAATTCATATAGAGGTTTTTGTGTAGACATGTTTCATTTCCCTTTGATAGATACCTAGGAATGGAATTTCTGGGTTGTGTGGTAGCTATGCTTAATATGGTAGATACATGTTAAGCTTTTTAATAACTACCAAACTGTTTTTGCTAGCTGCTTTGCCATTTTAACCCCCACTTTCCCAGAAATGTAGAAGGGTTCCAGTTTCTCTACATCCTTCTCAACACTTGGTATTGTCCATTTTTTAGATTACAACCATTCTGGTAAATGAATAGTAGTAGCTTATTGTGGTTTCAATGATGTTAACATCTTTTCATGTACTATTAACCATTTGTATGCCTACTTTGGTGAAATGTCTTTTAAATCATTAGCCTGTTTCAAAAATTATTTATTATCTAAGTACTGAGTTATAAAAGTTCTTTATATTTTCTGATATAATTCTTTTATCAGAATTATAAGTTTTCTTCTCTTCATCTGAAGCTTACCATTTAATTTCCTGAATAGCATACATTTTAAAATTGTAATGAAGTCCAGTTTATCATATTTGCTTTTATGGATGAATTGTACTTTTGGTGTCCTAAGAGATCGTGTCCTAACTGAAGGTTTCAAAGCTTTTCTTTTATGCTTTCTTCTAGGAATCTTATAGTTTTAGCTCTTACATTTAGGTCTATTTTCCATTTTGAGTTTATAATTTTTCTTAGTACATTTGAGTTGCTATAGTAAAATATCATGAACTATGCGGTTTGTAAACAATATAAATTTATTTCTCACAGCTCATGATGTCAGGAAATTGAAGATCAAGGCACTGGCAGATTTGGTGTCTAGCAAGGGCTGCTTTTTGGCTTATAGGTGATGCCTTCTAGCTATGTCCTCATTTTGTGGGAGAGCAAGGCAACTCTTTGAGACCTGTTTTATAAGGGTAATAATCCCATTACTGAGAGTTCTACCCTCCATAGTCTCCATCTTCTAATGACCTCACCTGGGAATTTGGAGTGGACACAAACATTCAGACTATTGTATTATTCTTTTTTGTAGGGGAGGGGTACTAGAGATTGAACTCAGGGATACTCAGCCATTGAGCCACATCCCTAGCCCTATTTTGTATTTTATTTAGAGACAGGGTCTCACTGAGTTGCTTAGCATCTCACCTTGCTAGGCTGGCTTTGAACTCTCGATCCTCCTGCCTCATCTTCCTGAGCTGCTGGGATTATAGGTATGTGCCACCATGCCCAGCCCATATTACTGTATTATCGAATATAGTATAAGGAGATTTTTGTTGTGTGTTTTGTTTTTGCACATGAATATTCATTTGTCCAGTATATTTTTTGAAAAGATTATTTATCTTTAGCTGGGTACAGTGGTTCATACTGCTAATACTGGCTACTCTGTAGGCTAAGTAAGGATTATAAATTCTAGGCCAGCCTGAGCAACTTAGCGAGGCCCTTTTTTTTTTTTTTTTGTCACTGTGACCAAATTACCTGACACAAACAACTGAGGAAAAATTTTTTTGGCTCATGATTTCAAAGATTCAGTCCATGATTGGCCAAGTCCATTGCTCTGAGCCCAAGGTAAGGCAGAATATCATGATGCAAGGGCATGGTGAAGAGAAGTTGCTCCTGCTAAGTGGCCAGGAAGCTGAGAGGGAGAATAGAGGAAGAGGCCACAGAGAAGATGAACCCTTTTAGTATATCCCCATTGATCCACCTCTTCCAGCCACACCTCACCTGCTTACAGTTACCACCCAGTCCATTCAAACTAGGACAGACAGTTAGGTTACAGTTCTCACAATCTCACAAATTAAATCACATTTAATTTCCAAACATTCTTGCTTTAACACTGGAGCTTTGGGAGAACACCTTATATCCAAACCATAACATTCTACATTGGTCCCCAAAAGCTCTTGTCCATCTCACAAGGCAAAATGTATTTAGTTATCTCCAAGATTCCCATTTTTTGACCATTCCAGCATTGCTCAAAAGTTCAATACCAAAGTGTCATTTGAGACTCAAATAAAATCAAGGCTGT